ATTCTCAAAATCCCTGCACTCTATCATCTACGCATATACATGGTGACCGAATTAATTGTACGCATGTTTATTTTCAGCCACTTTATCTGCCTATTATGACGAGAGCCGACTGTGTGGACATTGAGATGTCGCGGGTTGTCACGTTTTTCCAGAACCCTCCCCCCCCCCCCCCCCACCCCCTCAGCTGCCGCACCCCACGCGGGGTTCGTGCGCCTCTTACCCATATCTCCGAACAACCATCACTTGATCCAGACACTAACGCACTCGGACGCGATGCTTTAAATTCCGCTGGTTCTTCCGGAGCGATGAACTTAGGAAGCCAGCTGGAGCTGTGCGCTTTTAAATCTAGCTTGAAAACTCGTTTCTTTAGAACGACTTGTTGTGTTGAGCTTGTTGTCCTTAGTAATCAGGGCGGCCGCTAGATTCGAACCGTGAACCTCTGCAACAAGAGCTGAACGCGCTACCGCTGGGGCCGCTGCATCAACTCCGATTAGCCCGGTTGGCTACGCACGGTGCGAAAGAAGTTCAACGTACATGCACACACACATGCACGAACACGTGGCACGCGCCACAGACTGGCGGCGCAACAAAGTTCTGTGCGAGCTGCGTCGGCGCACGTTGCGCGATGCCAGCGACTTGCTAGACGACTGCGAAATAGTGGACGGAAATGACGAGCCAGGTAATGCGAAATATGAGAGGGCACGTGGTGGCCCCGGGCAAAGATGACCTCTCGCAGTGCCACTGCATAGTCCCCCCCCCCCTCCCCGCCTCGGCCCACGCTTACCAGCGCGAGGGGGGGTGTGGGGGGCCCGCCTCGGACGCGTGCTAATTATTTGGAGAATTTGGCTCCCTTTTGCAAAGCAAAGTGGCGCCGGGTGGATTTACGGCCACGCTCGCAGGGCGAGAGCCGCGCAAATTTTCTGAGCGATTACGCCACAATGATGGATTAGAACCTCGTCCCCGTAAACCCCCCCCCCCCCAAAAAAAAAAATCGCATTCCTGGAGCGGCAGAGTTTTAGTGCGCGCGGTCGACAATAAAAGCCGCATAAGCGGCCCCCAGGTCTCCAGACGCTCGCGCCGCTGCGCTCATAAATCGCCCGCGCCGAAGCCGGGGCCGCGTGGGCCCCCAGAGGAGGCGGAGCGCCGCTTTTAGCGCTGCGGAGTCGGCGCGTTGGCCTGGCCCGAGCGCCGCCGCCGGCCCCTGCCGCCTTGGACCGGCCACGGGGCTCGGGGCAACGAGCGACCGAGCCAACGCTGAAGGATTCACAAGCAGCTGAAAGGGGGGGGGGAGGGGGCGGGGGGGGTGGGCTTGGATTCATGAAATGAAAAACAATGGCGTGGCTTAGGGTCAACGGTGGTCCTCTCGTGTATTAGACTCGCCCCCTCCCCGCCCCCGCCATAGGAACGTGGAAATTCCACCGCTGACTCAGGGCTCTAAAGGGAGAGACGAGCACCGCTGACTCGGTACTCGTTCGAGCGGCGGGAAGTCACTTTGATTTGTTTGACCGATGACGGGAAGTGAAGCTGACTGCGGGAATTGAACCGATCCAAGCCGTGGGCCGCGCGGTCTCCGGAGTAGACGGGGACACGCGGGGCGCGCCTCGTCGAGCGGAAAGCCAAACCGTCGCTCCGCGCTGCCGCGCAAGACAAATAATCGGCAGCGCTTCGGACACTGCTGATTAAGGGGGGGCGCCGCCCTGTGGAACATTTGGCGCTCGTTTTTCACTCGTATATTATGGGGATCGTGGCAGTTTTAATCACAATTTACATTACTTCTGGACGTTCCCCTCGTGCATTGCGAGTTTGCCCGCGGAGCGGTGAGCGCCTACGCCGGGGAAGGGCAACGGGGGTCCAGGCCTCTGCTGAGCGGCGGGGATTACGGCCGTGCCGAGGCCGCGATGGAACGCGCCTCCAGAGACGGAGGAGATGGAGCGCTGAAATCAGCTCGTGTGCGCCAGATGAATGGATTGTGACGTGACAGGATCGTGCGAGGTGGCGACGAATTTGAGAGGTCTTCATCCAGCAGTTGATTGTGCACGGCTGGTGATAACGAGGATGTCACGTGACGCTGTGTGGCAGTGTCCGAGCCAAAGTAGCGGTGATCGCGACGGCGAAAGTGGCGATCGATGCGTCGCGTGGCTGATCAAGTTTGGGACAAACTCACCCCGGAGTGTTGTGAATTATTCATCCAGGAAAGCCACACTGAGTTGTGGGACTCTTTTCCAGGGAGGGCCCTACATTGGGTTTTGATTTTAATAAGTTTCAGACAATTAATTCGTGTTTATAGACGTGGGAGGAACCCGGAGCACCCGGGTAAAACGCACGCCTGGCGCGACGGCGCAACACGCTATCCCCATGCATATGGAAACAGATGGAGCTTAGTCTATTTGCTGTACTGCCTTCTCCTGGCGAGCCAGGCTATGGCACCTCCTCCTTCGACGCCCACGGGTGATCGAAGGGAATTTCACAACATTGTTGCGCGGTGATCAACCAACCCTCGCTGCGACAGTCCACACAACACGGGCTAACAGCAGCCGCGCTGCCCGTGGTGTGAGTCGCCGATCCCCACCCCCCATCCACCCACCCACCCACCACCACCACCACCACCCCCCACCGCGTCTCACGTGCGGTGCACACCTTGACACCTGGCTCCGTGTCTGCGGGCAGAGCCTTTGTTTTTCCCCCGGGGCTTGAAGCCCGTTAGATCTCCCACGAGTAACGCGAACCACGTGCGCGTCGCTCCCGCTCGCGTTTGATAGCGAGCAAAATAAATAAATAAATGAACGGAAAACGCCACTGAATTCGGTTCAAGAAATAAACTTTAAAAAATGGTGCATTTTCACAGTGGGTCTGCAAAGCTGTCATGGCATCGCGCGAGACGCGTGCTTGAGGTTTTTTCTTCCTTAGCCAAGAAGCCAATCAGATGCCCGTGCGACTCGTGTGGACGGTGTGTCTGACAGCGGGGGGTTTAAAGCAGCATATTTAAAGTCCGCTGTGAACGTGTAAAGGCGTGGAACCTGTGCGTCTGGGTATCGGGCGACTTGGTGTTGAGGGTTGCGAGCCGATCGAGGAGATTTTGGCTGTTGGCGCTCGCGTGCAGGAAAGCGCTGCCCAGCTTTGGTTTGTGCTCAAAACCCCACGTGGACAAGGAGGCCCAGACACCGCACCTTGTTGGCACCGCACGAGCTGGCACGGACTCACAGGAGTTGTCTCTTCTTTTTTGTAGATGGGTTTATAACCAAGCCTAGGGCGCGCCTCTTTTCGGATTTGGGAAGCTAAGCAGAGTTGAACTTGGTTAGTCCCTGGATGGGCGACCGCCACGCTGTTACTGCTGCTCAGTAAAATCTATTGTTGAACTGTCATGCGCTCCCACATGTATGCGTCCCACCTTCAACTCGCACTGCTGACCAGCAAATAACCCCCGTGGCCCAGAAAGTGTGTGGAAGGCCGTTAGCCAGCAGCGGATTAGACTAAAAAAGGGCTGTGCATGTACACGCGGCTGTGGACGATACGTGGGTGTGATGACGATACAAATGTTACAGTCAAACGTCAGAGTGATTTCTCTTCTCAAATCTTTTTTACGGGGATCACTCATTGCCGCTTTGCAGTACTGGGACTTGGTAAAAATGTCACATTTTCATCGTGATGGTGAGTCAATCCATTAGGACAACCGCTGTTCAGTACCCGCAAAATGGTCCTGATTTTACCCGCCCCTGAGGATAGATGGGTTGAGTCGACTCCTGGCTGGAATTAGCAAAGGCCAGGTTCCAATCGCATTGCGCTTCTCTCACCACTGTGCCAGCCAATCAGATTATTACAAAATCATCCTTTATTGGCCATATAAATTAATTGATACCATTACAATTGAGCTACTTCAGGTGGTACCAATTGTTTCTCGGACGCTTGAAATTATAGCGGTGACAAGCCGGAGCTTAACTGCCATAGAGATATCATCGTTCTGAGCAGCTGGGCTTCATAAGAGAACGTCATCCCATGGGCCATGCAATCAAATCGTTCAGCTGTAATGTGTTCACGAGTTCCAAAATAAATTGAAACAATATTTGCCCACTCCACAATCATCACGGCATCTCGCCGTGCGGTGCAGGTCACAGGAGGCTCAGCGGTAGAGCACCTCCGACTAGCACGGTTGGATACATACGGTGCGAAATAGGTTCAGCGTTCATGCATACAGAACGAGCGGCTCGCAATCGCAAGGTTGCAGGTTTTAAGCCTGGTTGGGACACGACTCAGCCCATCATCCATCTGGGGTCGATAAAATAGGTTAACAGTGGTTGTCCTATGCATATCCTTACCCCCAGCAAAGAAATGTGGATTTTCCACCACTGACTCAGGGCTGTAAACAGGAGCATGAGCTCCATATGCCAACCAATTCTGAGTTTTCACAGAGTGGCAATCATAACCTTAAGTTGCACTCATTCACCGTGGAATAATCATAATGACGGTGAATATTGTGATTAAAATACGTGGCTCAATCAAATGTCGCAGTTCCCGAATGCCTTCGCTGCCAATGCCGGAGCACGTGTCCCTTCCGTCACCGGAGTGCGTGCGTGCGAAGTAGCTCTCGGCCGCTGCTCAATACAGAGGCTGCGTCACTGCATCTCGGCGCAACACGCCTGCCATTAAAGTTCTGCCATCTCTGCTCTGGCCATTTCGTCAATAGTTTTCTCCCCGTTTTGCTCTCGGCCCTCCCATCGTCGAGAGGCGTAAATCATCCGTTGGGATCGCTCGCAGAGCAGCGCGATCCGTGGTGTTGGAGAACGGACCCGCGGCTGCGGATATCACAGAGCTACGTGCGAAATCCCTTCAAGTCACTTCTGGTTTACACGGTAGGGGGCAGCACTTTTCGCACCCGCTCTGCCACGGAGAGTAAAGTCCATCGCATGGCGGTCGAACCTATATTTGAACTTTCAGAGGTGGAATACGGACAATTGAGCGCAGAACAAAATGTAATAATGTGGATTTTGTGTGTGCGTGTGCAGTGATTGGTGACTGGACTGAGACCATCAACTCGCCACACCCGAGGACCCGCTTTAATCCGGGGCAGCTGAATCCTGGATCCGAACCCAGGGGTCTCAGCGGTGCCCGGCTCAGCGCTCTGACCTCCTGCGCGCCGGGAGTTTTTGAAGTTGCCGCTCTTTTGCGTGCCGCTTTCAAAATGCGTTTCGGCCGCGGCCGCTCTTGGCCGAGACTGCGATGGGCAAACGAGCGACTGCTGCTGCAGCCGCCGCCGCTTGCCTCGCGATCACCGCGAGAGATATCGCTTCGCGTCGCCCTTCAGACTCACGTTTTCCTTTGAAACATCAGATCGAGGTTGCGCAGCCGCATGTGCCAAGGTTTTTTTTTTTTCCTCTCGCTTTTGAATCTGCTCTAAATAATAAAAAAACACAATAAAGATGTTCGCATAGGAATCTGCCACGGGCCTTTGTTGCGCTATAATAGAGATGCCATGCCTTGGCTCGGCACGATACGGACGAGAGGCACGCGTGCGACGGGTTTATTCCCCGGGGGAGAGAGGGAGACGTCTCGCCTGGATCCGAGCGCACCTCTTCCAAGCGTCCTCGGGGTTCCTCCGATCGACTCCGCCGCAGGTGACTCCGCATCACCTCTGGACGAGGCGAGGAAGGTGCCCGGCTCGCGCATGGCACGCAGACGCCACTACCAGCGGCGCAACATGTGCGTCGCCGGCCAAGTGACCACCACGTTGCATGTGCAATGCGGCGCGCGCCTTGTCTGGACCACCAGCTCAATGAAGCTCGAGTGCGTGGCCGTGTGAACCGTTTGCGTCTTTACGTTGCCAGCCTTGCTCGTTACGTGCAGAAAGTGTCCGTTCTAGTGGCCATCTCTCAAGGTCCGCACCACTGTCCACAGAATGGGGGGGGGGGGGGGGGAGTGGCCCTTCTCTGTCGTCGCTGCGTTCGCCCTCCGGAATAACCGCAACTGCCAACCTGCAATTCCATTTGTCGTCAATAATTACGAGTGAACCATTTTAAGGTCCCACTGATTTTAACGACCCTCTTTTCAAAAAGGTGGTGGAATGAAGTTGCCGTGAAAGTTTACATCCATTTATTCTCTGTATTATGTTCCAACGTGCATTGATGTCCGCCTCCACCACTGAGTGCTGGTCAGCGTGGTGAGGTATGGTCAAATAACCACCACGACCCGCACGGCGTGGGGAGGGCCTCATGCAGCAGTGGAATGACACAGAAGTCTGCACGTGTGCATGGACAGATTCATTATAAATAACAACAACAGGCGCTTGTGCCAGGCTAGGTGCAAGCGGTGTGCAAAGTCTCAGCAGGTGCGCCGCGGTGTTTTCGGAACTAAAGGAAAGGAAAGAGCTTCCGTTCGCAGGCTAGGGCAGACGAACTTCCCTCCGTGCCGTTCAGTGGCCGATCCAGCAGCAGCAGCAGCGAGGGTTGATCGATCACCGCAGACAATGTTGAGAATCTCCCTTCCCGTGGGTGTCGAGGAGGCGCCATGCCCTGACTCGCTAGGAGAAGGCGGTACAGTAAATGGACCCATCGCCATCTGTCGACATCTGTACGGGTGTCGAGTGTTGCCCCCTCGTGCAAGGCGTGGGGTTTCCTCGGGTGCTCCGGTTTCTTCCCACATGATGTGTAAACATAACACATGATGTGTAACACATGATGTGTAAACATAACTCATTATTAATTTGCTGAACACATCTTAAAATAAACCCCAATGTAGCAGCAGCAGGACCCTCCTGAAAAAAAGTCATCGAAGTTCGTGTGGCTTTCCTGGGTAAACAATCAAATCAGTCACTACTGCGCCTGTGCCCCACTCCTAAAGAAACCCACACGCGCGCAGACATCCCACACGGGGAACGGCGGTGCAGCGATTAGCGCGCTGCCACACGAACACGACGACCCCGAGTTAGCTTCCCGCTCACGGCCAACACCCAGTGACGATTATCTGAACCGGTTCTGGGCCTCCCCTAGGTCGAACTCAGCCTCAAATGAGTACCTGGTGCGATGTGTAAACATCGCCACCGGGGAGACAAAGGCGGCCGGGCGTGATGTTGTCCACCCACCCCACCAGCCGCGTGCTGTTCCGGCCTTCATAGATGCTACTCGCTAACAGAACTTGCCCCAAACAGTGCGTTAAAAAAGGCTACACGGGGATCTTTGTCTGTGTCTGTGTGTGCGGCGCGCGTGCGATGGTCCGTGATGGTGCGAACGCGAGGCAGGTGCGCGGGACCGGTCCGCGTTGGGCAAGGCGTCAATGTTGGATCCGCGAGATCTGTCGGCGAGCGGCGCGCTGATGGATGTTTCCCGATTATTATTATTTTGTCGGCTCCGTTTCTGGGAAAACTCAACGTCTAAAATGCAGCCAGCGCCCACGTGGACGCCTGCGCGGCGATACGGGGAGCCGGAGATGAATGGAGGGGATCGATGCGTTGCCTTGAGAGGTCCTCGCGACGAGCGCGTGGCGTCGGGCGTTGAACTCGAGGCACCCCTTGCCGTGACGAATGACCGCGGGTGTTTGCTGTTAGTCCTCATCTCGGAGCCGAGCACTCGTCTCGTCACCCGTGAGCACGTGTAAACATAAAGACAAAGATCCCCCGTGTAGCCTTTAACAGACTGTAGGGGCAAGCGCTGTTAGCGAGCACCTATGAAGGCCGGCACGGCACACGAGGGGGTGGGTGGCCAACGCCACGCCCGGCCGCATTTGTCTCCCCAGTGGCGATGTTTACACATCGCACCATGTACTCATTTGAGGCTGAGTAGACCTAGGGGAGGCCTAGCTACCTGTTCAGATAATCGTCACCGGTGTTGGCCGCGAGCGGGAATCGAACCCCGGGTCGCCAGGTTTTCGTAGCGCAGCTTAGCGCTAACCGCTGCACCACCGCTCCCCACGTGTACACACACCACACCACACACCCACGCGCGCGCGTGTGTGCACTACGTACGTGGCGAGCTGCATTGAATACCTAACCACGGCGAACATCAGTGGCGAGTGATATTCGAGACAAGTTCTGGGTCAATTCAATCTTAAACAACTACCCGGTAACGGTGTGTCGTTCACACCATCACGTGGGAGACACGGCCAGCAGGGTGGAGCGTTCGCCACAACACCCCTTGGTGTATAATAGAGGTTGTTTTTTTTTTTTCGGGGGGGGGGGGTTATATCGCGTAAATATATAACGACACATTTATATATTTACGTGATCTAACCCCAGAAAAACCTCTATTGTGGATGATATTGGTCGCGAAAGCCTACGCGTGAAACCCCTTGGTGTGTCGGTCCGCCCTGATTAGTTGCTCGCTAACAGCATTTTCCCCAACAGTCTGTGACAGGATTTCGTTGCTCTGTCCAATACAGCTTCCTCCGTGCCCCCTCGTGTTTGGTTGGGTGGCTCTCCGGTTGCCCTATGGATAGCCGCGCTCCCATCATATGAATGTGGAATTTCCACAATTGGCTCAAGGTCATAAAAAAGTAGCACCACCCAACACTGGTTTGTCCAGCGAGACACTTTAACTCTTTGACGAGATGTTGCATTCACGATTACTCCCATTATAGATTTTGGGAAACAAAAGTGCATCTCACTGCATCAACGGGACAAGTCTCGTGGCCTATCATCTCCGTTGATGGCCCCTAGAGCGGTGGTGAAACTGTTCACGTTTTCGAGGCTCGGGCCAGTCCGTCCATAGCACGCCCGCTGCGCTAAATCTATCCTCGAGCGGCAACTGGACTCGCAACGTTCCGCCTGAGTCGAGGCGCTCTAAGCCTGACACCGTCCGAGCCGCCTGGTAAAACGACGACTCCAACGTTCCGTGCCGCGCTTGCAAAGGGCACCGTCGAGGCGACGCGCGGTCGTGACCATTTCGCCGTGAAAATCCGACGGTTCGCGCGCGCTCTCTTCCACAATTCACTCATCCCCCCCCCCCCCCACGTCCACTTCGCTGCCTCGACACACGTGACCTTACCAACGTCGGCGCACATTTCATTTAATTGAATCTGAGCCACCCTTAAACCACCGCGCTAATTCATTTTGCCATTCACTCCGCGCTATAAAGCAAACTTCAAAGGCGGTCGACGTTTTTTTCTCTCTCTCTCTCTCTCTGCAGAGGCCCGTATTTCCACGTCGCATGGACTACATCTTCCACCGCCGTGTTTATCGCATTCCTGGCGCCGTTTGCAGCCCGATGCCTCCGCGAGGCGGATCGGCTCCATGTTTCATCTCCGTATCCCCGCCGCTCGGTGGATCAGTGGCGGAATGATTCACACCGATGACGACGATGATGATGATGATGATGATACTGCTGCTGCGTCAGACTCCTGAGTCAGAACCCGGGACCAAATCCGGTGGAGTGGCGCTGCGGTCAGAGCCCTCGATATGCCATCAAGACATCCGCGAGTTCAAATTCCGGTCGTGGGTCAAATCAGCCCATCCTCGCGTTCTGTGCGGTGGATGAAGTGACTGGCGCTCAGCGAGAGGCCAGCACGCGGCCGTCCCGCGTGGAGCGACGCCACCGCTCCGGGCCTGCGGATGACCTCGCCCGCTGGCTCGGGGCCACGGTAGCAGGCGGTGTGTGCCACCACCGCAGCGCTCGCTGCAGCGGGAGACGCGAGTCCTGTAATTGATGGGCACGGAATACCTACAAATTCCATTCGGAGCCTAAAGTCAGCTCCCCAGACTAAAGACACACACTCGCGGGGAATCTCTGTTTATTTGCAAAGAATCTCAATGCTTGCGAGCTTTCATGCGGACTGCTTGTTGACGTTACGTGCTGTCATCACTCTTGCCGCTGTAATTGTGCAGATCTGACGAATGCCTCTCGATTGTTTTGCCGCGACCTCGTGACCCCGACTATAAATAAAAGCCAGCGACCAGAAGGGGGGAAAAGAAACTGCCGACGGAAATTTATATATATACCTTGGTGTCACGGGGCATGTTGCTCCATTGCAATTAAGGAAATAAATTAAACAGGTGTAACCGTAACATATATAAACACACAACCGTTTGCATCCAGGTAGGGGTTGTATTCAGCCCCCGAGGGGCTTTGCAGGTTTGCGGGAAGGCTTGCCAAGGCTGATTGGACAAGTCCCTTGTAATCGGACACGTGCGCAGCCTCCAATCCGATCCGCTTGGCACGGAGGAGGTGGCTGGGCGCGTGTCACGGCACCACCTCGGCGCCTGCCTCGGCCCGTTCCCCCGCGTGCGTTCCACTCCTCTTGAGAGTCTTCTGCTGCTTGCTGCTTGCTGCTGGCTGCTGCTTGCTGCTTGCTTCTGCTGCTTGCTGCTTGCTGCTTGCTGCTTGCTGCTTGCTGCTTGCTTCTTGCTGCTTGCTGCTTGCTTCTGCTGCTTGCTGCTGACTGCTTGCTGCTGGCTGCTTGCTGCTTGCTGCTTGCTGCTGGCTGCTTGCTGCTTGCTGCTTGCTGCTTGCTGCTTGCTTCTGCTGCTTGCTGCTGGGTGCTGGCTGCTTGCTTCTGCTGCTGGCTGCTTGCTGCTTGCTGCTTGCTGCTGGCTGCTGGCTGCTGGCTGCTGCTGGCTAGCTCACACACAGTCTGCTTATGGGCAATGCTGCTGTGTTATAATAGCGCAATTAGTTCTTAATATTTGGTATTTTAAAGCCATTCTTACGGAGCAAGGATGTCACGAATGCACTACGTCTCAAAGAGGGGTAAGGGGGCGATGTTGCAATGTGGTTTTGACCAAATGGAGTAGTAATTTACGGGTTATTTTCCAATTTAGTAACGTTGGACCGTGACGCCGCACACATGGACCTACTTTTTCCAAAAATAACATCACGGAGCGGAGTGTTGTTCGTTCGCCCGCAGTATTAACCAGGGCGGCCTCTGGGCCTCGGACGCGCGGCGAACCCGACAACCGCGTGCCGGAGGCGCCAATCTCCGAGCTGCACGGCGTGCGTCCAGACGCTGTGCGATTGGAGCGCTTGAATCACAATTGGAAAGTTTGCTAGTTCAAGCCCGGTTGAGAATGAACAACTTAGCCACTAATCCCATTATCATCATCATCATGACATTATCCTATCATCCCCGGGGGCCAATAAAACGAATTTGTAACACTCCGACGAGATGGCTGATGGTTAACGTGCATCCCAAGAATACGTCAACTGAGTCATTCATTATTCGCGGCCGCGGGGTGGAGGGGTTGATTAAATAAACGCTACATTTTGAGACACCAACCGTGATTGTCTTACGGAATAACTCGCTCCTGCCATAAGAACGAGGAATTTCCACCGGTGGGACTAGAGACCGCGTTGAAGATGAGTGCAACATCGCGCGTTCGTCCGAGCACGGGGAGGGGGTGGGGGGAGAGGTCACGCAAATGGTCGACGGGAGAAAAGTGAACGGATTTGAATAATTTGTCTTCCTATCTTCTCACGCGGCTCATTTGTGACTCAATTGATCGCAGATGTGCGGCTGGATCCCACCAACCCGAAACTCCCCGCGGGGGCCCTGAGGCGGCGAGCATCGGGGGGAGCGATGCAACGGCGGCGCGTGCTCTCACTCGAAGCCCTCTTTACACCTCAACCGCCGACAACCGATATCCTTTAAATAAACTCAATTTTCGTCCAGGGAGAAATAATTTATTTTTAATTACGCCGCTCTATTTGAATAAATTGCAAACAGCCTTTGATGTGTTCTCCGTAAAGTTTCCCCCCTCCACCTCCTGCTCGTCCTCCTCCTGCCGTGTCCGGTCGGCAATCACGGTGAAGAGGTAGCGACAGGTGGGGT